TGATCAGTTTCAGCAGCGGCTGACGCCAGTTCCGACTTACATACAGATTCAACTTAAGAACAAACCTACAGTCCCTATCTTGTACGTAACCCGGGGACTGCCTGTATATAAAGTATTTATTTCTGCAGCATGATGGCCTGGATGAATTGTGGGCAGTGGAGATTGATTTTAGACTTCTGGATTAAAAGCAAGAGCCTCTCTGCTGCCTGATCTAAAAGTCAGTTAGCTCAAGGGCTTTAGCAGATTCATAAACCTCTGGTCCAGCCATAGAGAGGGGACAGGGAGTCACACTGTGAGTTACATTTCAGAGGTAAGAAGTTGTCTAAATTAACTTGTAACCCAGCAGTCTCATTAATGAATTAAGCCTCGCAACTCTGACTTTGAGAAGTGTTACGAGCTCTAGCTTACAAAGGGGGAAACTGAGGCATAAAGCGGCAGAGGCTTGTTTCATGTCACATTGTGTTCTGGTGGTAAAGGCTGGTTAAAGTGTTGGTATCTTGATTCACAACTCCCTGGTGTAATCTATAGTGTATTGTGAAAATACTGTATTGAGGCAGCAAGGTATTTCTAAAAATGTTTGGCGTGTACATGTTATTTTAGTAACTGTTCATTTGCTCTACAAGGGTCATGTTTTTTCCCCATTAAAGTCAGCAGCAACACTGCCATCAACTATACTGGAATTAGGGATGTTAAAAATCATGTAATAGGGTCATCGTGTAACTGCTGAAAATCTCAGTGATTACATGGCTACCCACGCTGCAAAGAGAGCCTGCAGCGACGCCTCCCTGGGAGCAGAGCTAGCAGTGAAGCCTCCTCCCCAGAAGTGGAGCAGGCAGTCCTTGCCCGTCTGGCTCCCGGAGAGGCGGCTTTGCTGATTGTAACCTACACCATTAACCAATGAGCATCTGTCGGTTAAACGGTTAGTCGTTTACACTCAGACATCCCTAACTGGCATCAGGATTTGACCTTAGAGTGTTAAAACTAATTGTAATTTTCCTTCATTTTTTCCTTAGTGTATTTCACATTTCTCTTGTTTATATTCCAGACAGTACAACAAATTGCGAAATCTAGTGAAGGATGCCCGTAATGACTGTATTCTGTTTGCTAATGAATTCCAGCAGTATTGTTATCTGCCGAGAGAGAGGGGAGAATCAATGGAGAAATGGCAGACCAGGTATGTTTTAACTCACTGTTTCTCAAACTGTGGGTTGGGACCCCAAAGTGGGTCACAACCAGGCCCACTGAGGGGGAAGGCAAAGGGGAAAACTGCCCCAGGGCCTAGCAATTCAAAGGGGCCCGAGGCTCTGGCTGCTGCTGCTTTGGCAGCAGTGACATCCACAGCCCCAAGCCCTTTAAATCAGTGCGCAACACACTCTGGGGTGGCCAGCTTGAGCGCACTCAGTCTTTGGTCTCCTCTCCTGGGGTTGTGTAGTAATTTGTATTGTCAGAAGGGAACCGGGGTGCAATGAAGTTTGAGAACCACTGTTTTAACGAATAATGGGGGCATGCGGTGTTGCACTGAACAAAAGAGGTGTGACTAGATGGACTATGCATGTTTAGACATGCTAGGGCACCGGACATGTCAAACCTAAAGCTGTCACACTACCTGGCCACGACGTAATATACAGCATTTGAAGTCCTATGGTGTCCTTTTGTGATTAAGAATATACCAGATTGTTTTAAGATAGATTTGCTTCTATTTTTATGTAATCATAAGTTTATAATAATAGATAAAAATAAACTGAACTGAGGGAAGCTCAGAGATGAGTTCTGAAGGGATCTTTAATTGTAGGAGATAGAACACAGTTTTATGAATGTTCAGGCAGAGTAATTGTAGGCCCTTTCTAGACGTCAGCACAGCACTCTGTAATGAACAGTAGTGTTCTAGAACTCATTAAGCCAAATGTCTAAAACTTTGAAGCTTACTTTCATGCAGAAAATGTATGTTTACCTATTCAGCGTGCTCAGTTTGCATGGTCAAAGCAGCATTTGTTCACGCAATTACTTGACTTGCACTTGTAATATACATGTTTTGAATTTTGGCAAGGGTAAATGGGTCTGAACCTTTTAAAAATAAACCATTAACTGAAGATACATTAGCTAACCATAGACTCTCACTGACTTCAGTGAGAGATGGATTGGGAAGAACTTGCTTTCTTCTCTCTGAGGTACTTGAGGATTTAGAATATGCGGAATTGTAGTGGCCAAGTTATAGAAACTGTGCCAAAAACTGGTCATAAACAGAAGAGCAACTCTTGTTAGACATTACACCTGCTTTGGAAAGTAATGAAGTATAGTCCCACCAGCATGTTACAGACATGGCTACATTCCAACTTGTTTGACAGCCTCACACGCAAAGATGCACTAGATCTTTGTCATAGCTGGGTCCTATGTGATTGTGCGTTAGCGCAGGGAGCCTCATTCCTTCCCTATCTGTCTCCTTCTCACAGAGCACCTATAACTTTGACTAATATGTTAGCGATATGATAATCTGATTGCCCTGTCTCAGTGTATGCATGTTAGAAATGTAATTGCTGGAAATATAGACCCTGGAAAATGTCTTACACATAACAAATGCAATCTGATAAACATGTTAGTGTGACCTGTACTTTTCTAGGAGTATCTACAATGCAGCAGTATGGTATTATAACCACTGCTTGGGTCAGCTGCCAGTAGTTATGGTAACAGAAGATGAAGATGGTATCAGAGAATATGGAGGTGAAACAGAAGGAGTGTTTGTGATTTCATTCAAGGTAACCTGTTAAAAGAAGTAGAAGAGAGTGTCCTTTTTGCAATTGTACCTGCCACTGGGTGGATTTGAACCTGGGTCCTTTGGAGCTTTGTATAGGTGCCTCTGCTGTTTGAGCTAAAAGGCAGCTGCCTCTCAGCCCATGCTGTAGAAGTCTCTTGTTCTGAGCTGTCGCTGTGGTCTAAGTGCCACTGCATGGGACAGTAGGCCACACTAGGTGTGTGGGTTACACAAACATTAAAGCAATGACAATTTCAAGACTGTAATGTATGTAGTGTATATTAATCCACCTTAAAGATGGCATGTAAAAATACCACAATACAGGTTGCACCTCCCTAAATGGGGACTGTGGTCCGGCAATAGCTGTGGTCCAGGCATGAGAGCCTTAGTGTCCAGAAGTCAGGCTGCAGGAGGGGCTGGTTAACCATTCACATCCCTATTCAATTAGCAATCAAAATGAAACGTCACCTGTTTACGTAATGTAAACCACCAGTTATCTGCTAATTGTAAACCACTTCTAGTAACTACCATTCCGGCTTGTATTCAGTCTGGTGAAAATACTCTGGGTTATGAAAGGGATGTTGTCAGGCTAACGATAACATTTAAACAAACTAATAAAAACCCACTTTGGGTACGTCTAGGCAGCAGCGTTATTTTGGAATAACTGATGTTGTTATGAAATAACAAAGTGTGTCTACACTGCAAGCCATTATTTCAAAATAGTGGTGAGATAGAGGACTTCTTACTTTGTCTCCTCCAATTTATGAGGAATTAGAGAATTGGAAGGAGGAGTGTTCTTCCTTTGATTTCCTGCTGTGTAGACAGTGCCAAAACCTGAATTAAGCTATTTTGACTTAAGCTACGCAATTGACATAGCTCAAGTTGCCTAGCTTAATTCAACTTTTGCCCTGCTGTGTAGATGTGCTCTTTGTTTTAAACAGTATCTTAGACCACCAGTTCTCAAACTGTGGGTCAGGACCCCTAAGTGGGTCAGGACCCCATTTTAATGGGGTCGCCAGGGATGGCTAAGATTTACTGGAACCTGGGACCAAAGCCCAAGCCTCAGGGCTTTAGCCCTGGGCGACAGGTCTATGATTATAGGCCCCCTACCTGGGGCTGAAGCCCTTGTGCTTCAGCTTGGCCCCAACCCTGGGCTTGGGGCAATGAGGCTTTTTCTTTGTCTCCCACCACCGTGGGATGGCAGGGCTTGGGTTGGCTCAGGCTTTGGTCCCCCCTCCTGGGGTCTTCTAGTCATTTTTGTTGTCTGAAGAGGGTTGCAGCACAATACATTTTCAGAACTCCTGTCTTCGGCTATAAAAAATGAAGCAACTTTAACAGAATCTAATTTACTTTAAATTAGATCTTTCAAAAAGCTACTTAATTTGTATAGTTAAAATGTTATCTGAAACGAAAATATTGATCAAAATCCTTCTGAAGTATTTATGGTAACAAAGTAATGTAGTGGGGCACTGCACAATTCTTCTCTAGGGATATTGATCAAAATCTGTGCTAGATTACTGCTGGAATGGGTTTGTGGTACAAGCAATGTATAGTCTGCATAGCATTCTGTTGTGAAAAAAACCATCGCTTTCTATTTAAAATTTGTTGTGCTCTGTTTATAATATATATACAGAATTACTTGGATAATTTTTGGCCTGACTTAAAGGCTGTCCATGAACTCTTTGATTCCATACTTCAATCTCGGCGTGAACGAGAGAGTGAAAGCCAAGAAAAAAATGGGAAGGAATACTCTGAACATCTTCCTGTGGAAGTACTGGAGGCTGGAATCAAATCTGGAAGATATATACAGGTAATCTATTATTTATAGAGAATACAAAGAAAGATGAGGCCTTGAACTAAGGAATTTAAAGTCTAACTCCAAAAACTATGATAAATAAAAGAACATTAAATGCAGAAAGTTGAGAGAATGCATTGGTGAGGAAAATCTTATTGAAAGGTTTCAAGAAAAGTAGTGTGGAGAGGAGCTGGGGTAAAAAAAAATGGAAAACTGTTCCTAGTATGGAAGTGACATGAAAGAAAACATAGAAGGGATTGGAAGGAGTATTCTGAACAAAGAAGGAATATGAAGAAGATAAGTAAACTTTGAGAATCTTTTTTTTCCTGTCCCCTTCCTCTCAAATAAGTTGAAAAAGGTCATCACAAGATAGTCTTAAAGATTCCTCTCTTTTTTCTTCAGTTTTCTGGCTTGATGTTGCATGCAGTGGCCTCTTTTCCCAGAGAAAAAGATTTGATAGGAGCCTGTTGGTGCTCATTTCAACTGACGTTTAAAGATTATTGTGTTAGCACAGGATTCACCCATCAGTTGGGAAACTAGATACTGTATTCAGAAGCAACACATCTATTTTTTTTAAAATACAAATAAAATGTGAAGCTATAGAAACTCTCACCTCTAGGTTGACTGTCTGAATTCAGTTCATATCATTAGTAGCTAGAATTCATTACTATCTTATGGCTCTTCATTAACTTACATTGACCCGTTAGTGGACACATTTTGAAAATTAGAAGAAAAAAACACTGTAAGAGGCAATAACTTGGTACTTTTATTGGCAGCCTCAGTAGGAAGGCAAGATTAGAATATGCAGAAAGACTGAATTTTTTGCCTTTGAGGTGATACCTCTGAATCAAAGTTGTGGGCAGTGCCAAGTGTGAAAGTTTGCACTGACTGTTTGTGGCCTGCCTAATCTGTGTATAAAAAGAGAACCGTAGTCTTCAAAATTTTCATCAGCATTACAGTAAATAAAAACATCTAGAAAGAATTCTTGGCTCTTTCAGAAATTCAGTATTTCCACACTTCTGTGTAGTATGCTCCCCACAAGGAGAAGCAGTCTTGTTCTAAATATTGTGTGAAAAATACCAGAAAACATTTTTAAATGTATTTTTAAGAAGTGAGTACATTTAATATGTATAAAGTTTGTCATTTTTGGGGTGCGGAGATTCCTTTCCCCCATCTGGTTGCATCTATTCATTAGTGACTATTATTTTATTTTAGGGTGTCCTGAATGTCAATAAGCACAGAGCACAAATAGAAGCTTTTGTTCGACTTCAAGGAGCTAGCAGTAAAGAAACAGGTAAATGTTTCCAGTAAAATGCCGTATTTAAAGATTAGTTTGGGTGACTTCTAGTGATTCCTTCCAGCTTATTCAGGAACAAGGTTTCCAGGCTCTCAACAAGAAGTCATATTAACTCCTCAGTCATTAGGACAGTGGAGAGAGAAAATATGAGAAATGGGGGTGCTCAGGTTGTCTTCATGCAGTGAAGACTGTGGAAGCTGCTCCTTGTATATCCCTTTGAACAATAATCTGTATTTCAGCCTCCCCTTCTCCCATACTTGATAGTTTAATGGATTATGGCTCTGTCCTGCTAAATGGTTTGGCCTGACCTTGACCTCCTTGGGTGAACACATATGTGTACGCTTAGGTTTGGCTTTAATGAAACTATTAATGATTAAAGTTCAGCATGTGCACAGATATTTGCAGGAAAAAAGCATTGGTCACTATGGGCTGATGACAGTGTGACTGTTTTATCCAGTACTCCAAAAACTAAATTGCTCAGTATCTTTTCAAAAAACTAAGGGAAAGATTCCTCCCTACAGTGTAGCATTGCTACTTACCAAAAATCGCTTTTGGGAACATTCCTATGAGAACGGCCACTTTATTGCAAACTATTGTTTCGACAAAATATAGGTGTGAATTTGCAAGAATGTATAGTATTGTTTTATTATCATTTTACCTAGATCTCCAAAGCGATATACTTATTCATGGTACCAAAGCTCGGAACCGTGCAATCCATGGTGATGTAGTAGCTGTAGAGTTGTTACTCCAGAATGAATGGAAAGGAAGAACTGCTGCCCTTTGTGAAAATGATACGGAAGAAAAGGCACCAGGTGAAACCTCCAGTGAACCTATGCCCACAGGTAAAGTAAATAACAGTGCAAAGTAGGTTGAAAGTATATGCCTTCTTCAATTTGCAAGACTGCATGATGCTTATGGCTATACAAGCTGCTCCCTTTTCCAAATTTCCATGTTAAATCATCAAGGCATACCATACTAATAAACAAGATATATACGTTACATGCACAAAACTACAAACAAAAAACATTATTCAGGGTGCAAGGTCAAGCACTCGGAAGTTAGGAAATGGCAAAATTAAGATGTTCTGTGCAACCTTTAATCAGCCTCCTTGTGCATATGTATTATGGTTCACAATCACACATTATTTTTTTCCACAAGATCCTCTTGCAGCACACAATGAATGTGCTCATTAAATAAACAGCTGTTCAGTATTTTTTCTCCTTGTTCTATGTGTGACTCTATGCCTTATTTACTTCATTCTATTCAAATGCTGCTCTGAAAACAGAATTTTTTATTTCCTCATGGGCTTTTCTGTATGGCACTCAGAATTATAGTATCTCTGTTTGTTACAATACTAATGAAGTTATTTTCATGACACCCCTGTGAGGTAAAGAGGAGTGTTATCCTGTTTTAAGATGGAGAAAATATGGCACGGAGAAACTAAGGTCAAAAGTATTCGTTAATTTTGGTGTCCAATTAGAGACACTTAGGAGCTGATTTTTCAGAGAGCTTAGCAGTATATAACATGTAATATGTTCAAAGCGCAGCTCCCCTTTACTGCAAACCAGGGTCTCCAGTCAGGCACCCAGGAAGTAAGTGACCTTCTGTGAAAAATTTGGCTTATGTGACTTAAGCATAATTTAGGAATTCTGTGGCAGAAACTTACATAGAATCCAGTTCTCCAGGGCAGCATTCAACTCCCTTAACTATGAAAACATCCTTTTCCTTCCTGTAACCACTGCTTTTTTCACAACATATTTTTCCCTAGCTGTATTCTTGGAAGTGGCTGAATCATTTTGAACCTACATTTTCCAAAAATAATTACCCTAAAAGAGGCAACTGGCATGGAAAATTTCAGCTAAAATGGTTAGTTTGACAAATTTACAAGTAATGGAAAATAGATCTTACAATAGAAGGCATTGGTTGACTTTAATAATAGGCAGTACTGTCTGCCCATCCTATAATATTCCCACAGAAAAACACTTTAAATTAGAGTCATAGTTGCTCAGATGCATTTATCAACAATACAGTCACTTAACATTAAGGTGAATGCCAGCTGAGCTGAAATTGGTCTGAGTGATATGTTGCATACTTTACTACCCAAATGCACAGTCTCTCACTTCACAACACAATTCTAGTGATATGTTGCATACTTTACTACCCAAACGCACAGTCTCTCACTTCACAACACAAGTCTGATAGAATCACTCATGGTACACCCTGGTCCCAATTCTGCATAATTACCCTCAAACACAAAACATTAACTTGAGCCTCCTACTTTGCCATGTTCAAAGTAACGTTGCCTATAAAGCTTTCAAAAGTGCCTTGATTTAAGTGCCTATCTCCCATTGAAAGCCAAAAGACCTAGGCTTCCAAATCCCTATTACTATGTTCCACTCCAGAGTTGGCTGCATTCCTAACATCAATTAAGAAGATTCCTGTCGATAGTTTATGGACAATCAGTTTATGTCTGTAAATCACATTGATGTCCTTTTGGGATGAATGGTGCTATATAAATTTAGCTCATTAGAGTCTGGCTGTATAAATGTTGGTTTATCATAAACTTGTATTTGAACAACATTAATATTGATTTTGATTAAAACATGTATGCATAGCACTCAAAACAGGTCAGAACTCGTACAGCCACAATCTAAAACTCATTAGTCACTTGCTTGCATATCAGATCTCGTTAGCCATCCTAGTATTGACTTGTGGACAAACAAGCTCATCCTGCAGAGTGATGAATCCTCCAAACCTCCCACATAGGTTTTACTGATCCCCAGACTGTGGGGGTGGGGAACAGTAACAACAGGCTTGGGCAGGGAGCACTATCCAGTCTCACTCAGCGCAGCCAGAGGTCCACTCCACCTGCTGCCCAGCTCTGGCCCTAGCCACAACTGTGCTACATTCCCCTACTCTGCCCCCAGCTCAGCTCCAGCCACAACTCTGCCCTCATTCCCTCTTTACCTCCAGGTTCACTCTGCCTGCAGTCCCAGCTCCTCCTCCATTCCCAGTTCTTCCCCAGCTCTGCCTTCTCTGCCGAGGAAGCCTTGGCTGTGCAGTATTGCAGATGGGGTGTCAATAGATTCAGTTACTGGTAAAGGGGGAAGGAGGCCAGGAAAAGTTTGGGCACCACTGGCCTAACCATTTGATGTCTAGCCAAAGGTATTTCTCCTTCAAAGGCAGAGTTGTTGGAATCATTCAGAAGAATTGGCGAGATTATGTGGTCACTTTTCCATCGATGGAAGAGAGTCAATCTCAGGGTAAAAATGCCCAGAAAATCCTTGTTACACCTTGGGATTATAGAATTCCCAAAATCAGGATCAGTACGCAGCAAGCTGAAGCATTACAGGTAAATAATATGATGTGTAGGCAAATAATAGAAATACTCACTGCTCCAAAGATTTTCTGTGTAAAATAAATACATGGGAGATGAGAGAAGAGGCTGGTTTTCTGGTACATGTAAATATTTGATAGTCACTGTTTACATTTTCCCCCTGAATCTAAGTCAGTCTACAGAAGCAGATGTGACATCTTATTTTTCACAGCAGTCCAGTAGCAGGGAGGGCATAATGAACACATGACATATTACCATACAACTAACACTTAGAGCATTAGCTGCAAATGTACTCTATATTAATTAAAACATATGGGTCTTCCTCCTTCCATAGACTGTAATATGTTTTGGGACAAGTGGCTTCTAGTAGCTAGGGGTATGTCTACACTACCACCCTAGTTCTAACTAGGGTGGTTAATGTAGGCATTCGAACTTGAAAATGAAGCCCGGGATTTGAATTTCCTGGGCTTCATTTGCATGTTGCTGGGCGCCGCCATTTTTAAATGTCTGCTAGTTCGGACTCCGTGCCCGCGGCTACACGCGGCACGAACTAGGTAGTTCGGAATAGGCTTCCTATTCCAAACTACCTGTACTCCTTGTGGAATGAGGCTCTATTGCTGGTGCCTGGCTCTATTGCTGGTGCCAGCTGCCAGGTTCCCTGCTGCCGGGTTGCCTGCCAGGCTTCCCTCCTTGCTGCTGACCAGGCTTTACTGTCAGCCCCAGCCACCAGACTTCCTGTTCCCAGGCTGCTGGCCTCCCATCTGGCCCTGACTCCCAGCCGCTGGGGTTTCTCTGGTCCAGAGGCCCTTTATCCTGCTGGACCATGGATGTTACTGGACCAGAGAGGTTCAAACAGTACAGAGATTATTATGTAGGATATAATAAATGACTCTACTAACTGGATTCTCTGCTGCAACTGAAATCTTCTGGAGGCAGCAGAGGTGCCAAACTGAAAGGAGCTATTGCTTCCTGATTCTCTGCTGCATTGTACATTAGAGCCTGAGGTCTGAATGAATTTAACATATGTATATCTTGACTTTAATTTGAAGATATGGATTATCTTATTAAATGCTTATGAATGGTATTTAATAAGGAAAATGTGTAGTCTCCTTCAGCATGTATTTGTGTATTTATTTATTTTTATGATTGCCAGTGTCTTTGGGTTATGTTGATTGTTTTTCATTATTGAATTGCTGCCCTAACATGAGTTATTGTCTTACTGCAGAACTGTAGAGTTGTTGTGCGAATTGATTCTTGGGAGTCAACATCCGTGTATCCAAATGGACATTTTGTACGAGTTTTAGGGCGGATAGGAGATCTTGAAGGGGAGACCGCAGCAATTCTGGTGGAGAACGGCATTTCTGTTGCTCCTTTCTCAGAAGCCCAGGTTTGATTTTGTGATGAATTGCACTCTTTAACACTGTAATTCCCAAACTGTAGTCTTCTAAGGAGAGAAATCCGCTGGGGGTTTGAAGAGAGCTGTCTGGGGACATTAATACTTTCTTGTAAGGTAAACATGAAGGAAAGACTTGGAGAGTACAGTTCAGTATAAATACTGATATTTGTGACATTGTAAGAGAAAAAAATGAAATGTAAATCTAATTTGTAACCTCTGTATGTAGAAAACTTATAATTTTATGGTTGCTGATACTCTTGTGCAGATGTGTGAGATGCCTTTCAGTACCCCAGAGAATCCATGGAAGGTGAATCCAGAGGAGGAATTAAAACGCATAGACTTGAGGGATACACATTTAGTATTCAGCATTGACCCCAAAGGCTGTGAAGATGTGGATGATGCCCTGTCCATTAGAGAATTAGCCAATGGGAACCTGGAGCTAGGTGTCCATATTGCAGACGTAACCCATTTTGTGGCAGTAAATTCTTACACTGACATTGAAGCCAGAGCAAGGTAAGTTGTACTTATTATAGAAACTGTAAAGCAGATTGGGGAAGGAGGAGGAGCAGGATGTTTGTAGTTAGACTCTTAAACAATATTAAGAGATTATTGAGTGTGGGAAGCCTATTAGTTTTCTAAAGAGAAACTGACATCAAACCTAGCTTTTTAAAAATAAACAAGATAATATGTCATGTTTGGTAGACTCAGCTGCCACAAAAATATTTATTGTGCTGCTGGCCTGGAGGAAGCAGGATGTTGTGGGAGGGACTCCCTTTTGATCAGCTTTGTTTCCTTTTTTTATCCATAAAATGTGTCTTTCCCAGACAGGTTTGGAAGTCTAGTAAAATGAATTATTTGATGCAGTTACTAGTAGTGGCCTGTATTGTTTCAGTGCTGCCAGGCTTGTTGAATTTTGGAGGGACTATATCTTTATAGAAGATATATCTGTGACACAAGAAGCAGTCCTTACATGAATTCCAAAATATAAATAACACTCCTAAAAGTATAAGGAGAGGCTCTTTTGTGCAATCACATAGCAGAGCCAACAAGTAAAATTTCTGATGCTTGCAGGACTGCTGACTACAATTGTGGGCCCCGGGGTGGAACAGTCAGTGGGCCGCGCTGTTGCTCAGTTAGCTGCCAGCTGTGCTGTTGAGTTCACTTTTCTGGCGTGGCCCAAGCTGCTCTGAAAAAATGAAGCAACTGCCAAAACACTAGCATGCTACTGATTCTGCAGAGCAAAGAACTAGCCCTCTTGCATGCATATTATCTGCATACATAGCGCAGCTATAAGAGGCTAAACAAATCTATGTGTCAAAGAATCATGCTCTCATTGCAAATATCAGTACAATATTTTCTGATACTGGAAAAGAAAGGAGAGTAAAAGGCATCACTAAGGCTTACTAAGGATATCGACTCTTAATTTGATTAATAATGCACACACATAGGACAGTAAAAAATAAGTAATAAAGCAACACACACAGCACATAAAGCCACAAAGAAACAAGTGACAACACTGAAAATACAAAGGGAAGTAAAACATCAAGTGGTTGGTGATAGGTATTTTAAATTAATGTTTAGGACCCACGCTGTGCAAGTGCAACAGAACCCTGTAGCAACAGGCAAAGTCCGAGAGAGAGAGATAGAGTGTGTGTGTGTGTGGCGTGCGCGCGCGCGCAAAAGTAACCAACTCAGAATAGAAGCTCTGGAGTACATTTACACCTGGCTTCAAAGTTTGCAGACAGGTCCCTACTTTGAAGAGTTTGTAAATAAGGTCTTAATCCACCAGTACACCTAAGCACCACAACTACTGCTTGCTACTGAGTCAGTGGCAGCACTTGCCTGGAATCCAACTTTAATTGAATGGCCAAACAAACAGGATCCGTGGTGAAGTTCTTCCAGCTTTTAACAATGTATCATGGTTTAATTAATAATATAGCGTATCTTTTAAAAAAATAATAAAGACCACAATTTTCAGATATCTACAACATTCCAAAAATTATGTTGTTAAAAATCCTTTTCTTTTTTTACCTTAAGCTATTAATACCACTTACGAAAACTTTGTTTGAAATGTAACCCTGCAAATGTCATGAGGTAGGCCTGTTCACATGCTTTTACTCCCGAATTCATTCACTAAAACCCCAATCCTGCAAATGCCTATGCATGGGAGCCCTCCATATGTGTAACTATTTGCCGGGTAAGTCTGTATTGCCACTATACTACACTGCAACTTTCGGGTTTAGGGGTGTGAAAAAACATGCACACATCAAGTACAGCTGGAAAGTGCCCATGTTCCCAGCACTGTTAGCTACTCCCCAGTCGAGGTAGTTTACACAGAGTTCTCTCCCAGCGCTCCTGCCGTGGCCATGCTTTCAGTTTAAAGCACTGCTGTGGCTGCGCTTTAATTTTAGAAGTGTAGACAAAGCCTAAGGCAGAGTAAATAGCACAAAAGCAGCTTCTTACCGTGACACCAATCCAAATAAAATCCCAGAAGTATTTATTTTGACCTTCAATTGCTATACTTTACCCATAAGATCATTCCCATTTAGCCACATTCCCCTTTCCCCCGTATCTCAAAATACCAGCAACTCACCAGAAATCTTGACAGAAACTCCCCTCCAGTCTGGGGCTGAGAGAGAGTCCTGTCTCTCACAGACCCCAGGAGCAGCAGCCCAGTTGGGCTACCTAGTCAGAATCTCCTCTCCCAGGCATGGCAGGCAATCCATCTGGGAGTGGGACACCCCAAACTCCCACCCCCTCTTAACTCTCCTGACCCCCACCTACGCTCTGTTCCATTCATGATCTCAGCTTCTTCCACCTTCTTTCCAAGCAGGGGAGGGGGTCAGAGGCTCTGGCCACAAGGGGAGCGTGTAGGCAGAAGGGGTGGACTGGGGGCTATCCTCTCAAGATGGGGAGCTACAACTGCTCCGACGATTTAAAAGGATTTGGAACTCTCAACCACCAGTACTGTGGCAGCAGCCAGGCCCACCTGGGCTCTTTTAAATCACCCAAATCCCTGAACAATTGTCCCTACTGCCCCCTTGTCGGCAGGCCTGGATACTTGGAGTCAGCTGGAAAACTTATGACTTAAGAGGGGTATTGGCATACACATATTTTCATTTGCCAGATATGTCAGTCCTCTTCTATTCTTGCCATTATTTTGAAATTAAAATATTGAAACTCTGTTTTTATTAAATATATTGCTTTATGTAATTGCAGACTTCTATAAACTTGGTAGCCAGTGAAGATACGTGGTACAGTTTATGAATAATCTTCTCTTTTTAGCTGACTACACTTTTTAGCTGTAGGCTTTAACCCTGAATTCCTTGTGCACTCACAATTCCAAACTGAAGTTGCATGAGGAAAGCAGGATTGGGCCCATAATTTGTAAATGAATGTTTATTTAACGTGATTGCAATATTGTGCTTGTGTGCAGTGTGTAAAACTAACCTTTTGAAATCAGGTGACATTTGTATCTTGTTGTGCTGAAGTTGTGCTTATGTTGCAAACTGCTTCTGAGATGTACTATGAATGTGTTTTATCTTCAGGGCAACAACGTATTATTTAGCTGATCGTCGTTATGATATGCTGCCTTCCATCCTGAGTGCTGACTTGTGCTCTCTTCTTAGCAGAGTTGACAGGTACGATTTTTGTAATACTGATAACTAACGAGAGATCTACTGATGCACAAGAGATTTACACAAATAACTTAATTATTGCTATGAACAGGTATCCAAGTACATCTCTTGTACAAATGTTCGCGATTAACGTATTTGGGATCCTGTATATAAATATCCCATGTGTAGTGAGATTAATTCTGCAAAACTAATAAGGAATTGTGGAAGGGCCACAGTGAGTGCGCCATACTCAGGGAAGCCTTCAAGAAATAGGACAGACAATCTCCCCAAACTGGTGGTTTATTCTCTAATTACATTCACGAAGCCAGTAACAAAAGAGTTTCTGCAATACCAGACTGGTTAACTAGAAACTAAAAGTAATCCTCTTTAGACATTCCAGTCCTTGTATTCCATCCAGATGAACAGATCTAATATGGTGAGAGGTTACTGAAAACCTTATTCACCATATGTGAGGTTTTTACTAATCCCAAAAGATCAAACACTTATTTCAGATCTCACCTAGATGTCACGCAATCAGTCAATCCTTAGTTAACTAAAGATTTATTCATAAAAAAGAAGAGACTTATAAATGATTGCAAAGTCTTTATATCAAGTTTGTAGCAGTGATGAAATAGACTGTTACCAGAGAGATTTTTGTAAGCTAACTTCTAAAAGGAAAGTCCTTGGTCCACAGTTCAAGATGATCCTTTTAGTTGTAAATCCATAGTCTACGGAATTAGTGCAGGAAAGATGCAAAATAGCAGAGGTCTTTTATACCCTTTACTTTGCACGTAGAAGTTCACTGTCCCAAACAAAACTCACAGCCTAGGTGCATTGAAAGTTACTGGCCCAAGATGGAGTTCAAGGTCACATGAGCATATCATGTGCCGTTACATGGTTTGCTGAATTAAAGGAGGTGGCAATTGGCTTCTCATTGTCTGAGGCATCCTCTGAGTGGAATGAGTTTCTTCTATGGCCCATTGTGTGATTGGAGGGTTCTTAAGGTCTATCAGCCCATAGCTGTCTAGACTTGATGTGAATCTAGAGATTGTCACTCAGGAATGCAACATTCGTTTACGATACAATCACATAGCAAATATTCATAACTTTGGGTACAAAGATGGTACATGCATATAAACAGGATAATCTTAGTTAGTAAATCCTAACTTTTCTATTAATACCTTACATGGCATACTTTGTATAAGATTTTTCAATTTGGGACTCATGGTGACTCTGTTAGTGTAACCAGTTAGTGTAACCAGTAATTTTTATATAGCATCACAGGAATGGTGTATTTAAAAAAGCAGGAAACATTTATTTTGGAGGTGCAAATTAATGTGTATAAAATGCACATAATTTGCATTTTTAAATCTTCAAGTTAGAGTTACATGCACTTAAACAAATCCCTATCTTACCTGTGAAAGAACTTCTTTGACCCTATCCTACAAAGATGTATACATGTGCTAATGTTTTTATTTAGTGAGAATAGTTCTGTTCATCAATCAAACAGAAACATAACTCCTTGTAGGTTCAAAGACTTAGCATGCAATCGCAACTAAAACTGAGCGTGGTCTTTTTATGAATATATAATGATGTAGTCCACAACAAACATTTGTTGTCATGTAAGTGTCCCATTGGTAATGCTCCTTTAATAGGCATCTCTCTCCATTTTTAAAGAGTTTTTTGGGGACAAATTTCATGCTCAGAGCAATTCCATAGATCAGATTATTGTTGGTTTTATACCCATTCAAACATCAGCTTCTTTCCTCAAAAGGGTATCAGTTGTGGTTGATGTTTCTTGATACGGACCATTGCTGATGTAATTTGTCTCCATGTGTTGACCGTATTGTCCTCAGGGTTGAAAGGCAATTGCGTGAACGAGTGGCACTGGCAAGGCCCTGTTTATTTCTTGAAGTAAAATATAGAGCTGTTAGCTCAAGAAACTAAAAGGAATCTGTAGGCTTCTCAAATGTTGATTTCTTTAAAGTTCCATTTTATGAAAACTGGAAGTGGTTATAAATAGATTAACTGAAATTTTTATTTTTAAGGTATGCTGTCAGTGTCATGTGGGAGCTAGATAAAAATTCCTATGAAATCCTGAGAGTCTGGTACAACAGAACCATCATTCAGTCTTCATACAAACTGGTCTACGAGGTAGCACAGGGGTTATTAGATGGTGACCTAAGTGTAGTTGATGATATCCTGGAACTCAAAGAACTGGATGAGAGAACTAGACAGCAGAAGCTGGAAGTGCTGGTCTGGGCAATAGGAAAACTGACTGATGTAGCTCGACATGTTCGGGCTAAACGCGACAGCTGTGGTGCTCTAGAGCTGGAAGGAGTGGAAGTAAGAGTACAGCTGGATGATAAAAAGAACATTCATGATCTCATCCCTAAACAGCCACTAGAGGTGCACGAGACTGTAGCTGAATGTATGATCCTTGCCAACCACTGGGTGGCGAAGATGATTTGGGAGAACTTTCCTCACCACGCCTTGCTGCGCCGACATCCTCCACCGCGGCAAGAGTTTTTTGCTGAGCTCCGAGAATGCGCCAGTGCCAAAGGCTTTTCCATAGACACACGGTACCTTTTACTTCTCTTAGTTTGTTGTAAGCACTCAGAGAGACATTCCAGTGGTTAACCGTTATAACGTAGACAAACATGTACAAAGTATAATAAACCACATTTGATGTTTCATAGCGTTTCGTTTTAAGACTAGGCGTGATAAGTGTGTGGAGGGGATGGTATAATGAGAGTGCCTAAAATGGCACGTGGCCCCCTCTGCAACTACTATTAGCAGTGGAAGATGAGATAGTGGAAGGGGTGGGCTCTGAGTAACTTCTTTGGCTCACATCACCAGGATCTAACCGATCACTGTATTTGGGATCAGGAAGGAATTGTCCCCTATGCCAGACTAGGGATTCTAAAGGTTAACTGGTAAGCATAACGCTAAATGGGTAATGCTTACCAGTTCTGGTTAATCGCTAACTGGTGGGGGCTGGAGCAGCTCCCCACCTGCTGTGGGCAGGGGGCTGCTCCAGCTTCACAAGAGGCCCACCATGGACAGGGGCTGCTCTTGTCCAGAGCAGCCTCTGCTGCATGGAGTCTAGGCCTGCCGCAAGCAGGGGCTAGGAGCTAGGAGCCGGCAGCAGCCCTAGCGCGGAGCTGGGAGCCCTGCAGGCTGGAACTGTCTATGGCCTGGATCCTGCTTAGTTGGTTAACTGATTAACTGGAATTTTACATCCCTGGGTCAGACTGGCAAAGACTGCAGGATTTTCTCCTTCTTCTGCAGCATGAGCTATGGGTCACTTGCTGGTTTGAACTAGAGTAAATGGTGAAATCTCTGTAACTTGAAGTCCTCAGATCAAGATTTGGGAAGTGCATTAACTCAGGGGTTATGGGCCTGATACAGGAATGTATGGGTGAGGTTCTGTGGCCTGCAATGTGTAGTAGTCAGTTTAGAAACAAGATTATCATGACAGTCCCTTCTGGCCTGGATGTAAATATGTCCTACATTCTGTCCAGCCAGAGTGGAAAGACCAAATTGCGTTCACACTGATTTTAAGATTGTTCTAGCTGTGATTGCTCCCTCATTCCTCTAGTTAGGGTGGACAATAATTTTTTATAAGAGTCACTCCAAGAATTTAGAAAGTGGTTGAGGGCCGCACTCTTCCATGATATTAATGGAGGAGGTACAGGGTCTGGGATGGAGGTTGGGTGCAGAAGGGAGCTTGGGTGAAGGAGGCATTTGTGACCTAGGGCACTGGACTGGGGTTGGATTGTGACCTAGGGCAGGGAATTGGGGTACAGGAGAGGGGTGTAGGGGATTGGGTTGTGAGTTATGGCAGGAGGAGACTGTGATCTGGGGCAGGGGATTGGGGTGCTGGATCTGGGAGGGGGTATGGATGCAGGAGAGGAGGCAGCAGATTTGGGTATGTGGAGTAGAGGGACAGGAGTGGTTGGGAAAGGAAGAGGCTGGGGTTCCAGAGGCAGCCTCTGGCCAGGGTCTGCCTGCCCCGCCCCCCGCACAGGCTGCAGCCATGTGCTCTCTGTGAATAACTATGAGCTCTTTGTGCTTTGTGGCTGCTTGTTATTGAAACAGGCAGCTCCCATTGGCCAGTTTCTGGCCAGAAGCCAGCCAATAGGATTGTGCTGGGGGTGGGAGCAGCTCCTAAAGCTTCTCCCCCCCTCCGCCGGGCTCAGTTTTTAAAGTGAAACTGCCCCGCAACCGCATTTCTGAGCACGTGTGGGTGGGGCTAGGCAAGCGGGGAGCCTGTCTGGGGCCTGCTCTAGTAGCATCCTGAGTTTGCCCTTCTTGACTAAAGGAGGTTGAGTGAAATATAAGTTAGTATTTAAAATTTAGGGAAAGGTTGTACCTGTGAGGGTTGTGGTGTAGACCATTGCAATTTCAAGGAAAGCACCAAAAGGCATCCCTTTTGGGAATACTGGGAGCATATGTGTGTTCACAACTACATCCTTTTGATTGGGGTGCAGCTTACTCCTCCTGCCTTGTGTGGCCAGCTCTGCAGACTAGCGCTTGTATAGTGGGTGAAACCAGCTCCTCCATCCATTTTATGAGACTGGGCAACTTCACAGAAATAAGAATAGAGTAGCCCACATGCTCCAGTCGCGCCTGGCCCTCGCATGGCATTCAGAAGAGGAGCAGAAGAGGAAGCTTAACTAAATGGAATCTGGCATTTTCAAATAAGAATACTATTCTAGGGCAGAGGTGCTGCTACAGTTTTTGGTTTAGAAGTTTTAATTATTAAGCAAAATGAAATCTGATTATTAATTACTTGAACGTGTATTGCCTTGCTATTTTTAAATCACACGGTCTAATGTTCAGGGACAGCATAATTATATTAAGAATTCATTATTTGTTTTTGGTAGGTCTAATAAAGCACTGGCTGATTCTCTGGATAAAGCAGAAGATCCCTTAGATCCAATTGTGAATAAACTACTGCGGTCCATGGCTACTCAGGCAATGTCTAATGCACTGTACTTCTCAAGTGGCTCTTGTCCTGAAGAAGAGTTCCATCATTATGGTACCCTAGCTTTGGGGGGAGGAAGGGAGGGAGTGCGGGTGTGTGTTATGTAAATATAAATACACACACACACACACACACACACACACACACACACACTTCTGTGTAACTTTTTTTCTTTCAATCACTGGAGTTTAATTACTTCTTTTCATCACTGTCTCCTTTTGTCATAGGACTGGCCCTAGATAAATATACGCATTTTACTTCTCCTATTAGAAGATATGCTGATATTGTCGTCCACAGACTGCTAATGGTTGCCACTTTAAAAGATACTGAAGTAAATGCTACAGTTAATTTGTTCAGCAACAAAGATCTTGAGGAATTGTGTAGACACATCAACAACAGAAACAGGGTAAGATGGAGGGCAGTTATGTCTTTGAATGTGTTTGAACAGCACCTTGTGCAATAGTCCTCAATTCTTACTGGGAGCTTCTAGATGCTACATAATAAAGCTAGTCTTTTAATTAAATAATATTAAACATCATTAAATCACAGTATAAAGTAATCAAAGGAATATAGGTAAAACTTGAAAATGTCATTACAGCTTACACTTAAGCAAAACAGGAAAATATACAACCAGAAATGCAAAGGTTTAATCCTCTTGGCTACGTCTACATTGGCAAGATTTTGCGCAAATACTTTTAATGCAAGAGTTTTTGCGTTAAAATATTTGCGCAAGAGAGCATCTACACTGGCATGTGCTTTTGCGCAAAAGAATCTGTGCCAGTGTAGACGCTCTCTCGCGCAAGAAAGCTCCGATGGCCATTTTAGCCATCGGGCTTTCTTGCGCAAGAAATTCATGTTGCCTATCTACACTGGCCTCTTGCGCAAAAGGGCTTATTCCTGAGCGAGAGCGTCATAGTTCTTGCGCAAGAAGCTCTACTTGCGCAAGTAATGGAGTCTCCATCCCTGGAGGTGTTTAAGTCTCGGCTTGACAAAGCCCTGGCCGGGTTGATTTAGTTGGAATTGGTCCTGCCTAGAGCAGGGGGCTGGACTTGATGACCTTCTGAGGTCTCTTCCAGCGCTATGGTTCTATGATTCTATGATTAGTACGTCAGTGTTCTTGCGCAAGAGCTCGCAGCCAGTGTAGACAGGCGGCAAGTTTTTGTGCAAAATCTTGCCAATGCAGACTCAGCCCTTGAGTGTGTGGTGAAGCATTAGAAAGGTGGAAGGTAGGAAGCACACTTAAAAAGTATGCAGGAACTTGCAACATAGTCTTATTCCCTGTGATATTACAGAAATTTGAAATAGTAATTCCTTTTTGTAAATGGTTAACAAGAAACTCCCATCTTTTTAAAACATCATTTCTCTAAATGACTGCTCTGGAGTTGCAAGGTCTAGGAAGACATAAACCATACGTAGGGTTTCTTTGCTTCAGCCTAAGCCATAGCATTTTAACAATACAGTAAATACTTTATATGAAAGTTGGCCTTGTTTGGCTTGTGCTAATAACTGCCTTAATGGCAAGAGTTGGTAAGTTTGAACTGAAAATACCAACATTTTTTCGATTATCGAAGGCAAAAAGCCCCTTGCCCCAGCTGAGCAAAAGTTGGTACCATTGGGCTAAATGTTGTTCTCAAATCCATTTGCATATCTGAAGAAAAGTCTGTGGCCTTTTGTTAATCAGGTTGCTTCCTTTGACAGTGACTGTATTACTTGCTAACATACATGATAAGTTATTTTAAAATGTCTTTGATGGCGCATCTCTGAGTTTTTCTGTTTCCTTCTCTAAAGGTTTCTGGACCCAAAAACTCTTGTTTCCAAAATTTTCACTGAAGTTCTGATGTTTAAAAATGTACAGAAGGTTCAGGGGGTATCCAAGTTAGTCTGTAACTGGAAAAACTTAAAAAACGATTAGTCTAGCAGCACATTAAAGACTAACAAAACACGTGGATGGTTTCATGAGCACAACCCACTTCTTTCATCTGAAGAAGTGGGTTGTGCCCACAAAAGCTCAAGATACCATCTACAAGTTTTGTTAATCTTTAAGGTGCTGCTAGATTATTTGTTGTTTTTTATATATTTTTAAAAACGTTCAGTTTGATACAGAGAACACATAGCTATCTTTAACCTTGGGATAAAAATTTGGGAATTAACCGTCACAATCTTTTGATGTTTCTGCTAGAACTACATGCTTGACTTTTTCATGGGGGGGAATAAGTTTCATTTTTCATAGCCTAATTTGGATCAAGCAAGTTCTGCTGATAAAAGTAAAATTTTCCTGAATCAAGTTTTTAACACAGCAGTTAACAAATTTGTAAATCTGTAGGCAGAGTGTGATGAGATCTTTAAGAAACAAACAAGTACTTTAGGTTGAAAGTGTAGCTGGACTTGCATCACTAATGAAAAAAGAGGGTAAGAAAGAACAAATCTCCGATTTTAGTTACAGTTTTTGTTTGGGAATCTTGTAGAGGCAGATTGTCCCAGGAAAAGGGACAAAGAAGCCCCATTTACCTCTGGAAAGATAGTGTTGTCAGTAGAGTACAGTAGAAGCTAGCTAAAAGCCGAAGGGCTTATCCACACAGCGTGATAACGCTCACTATGAGGGCGTGATTTCTTAAATTCACTAACGTGCATTTGGTCCCTTTGTAGACCCTACTGGTATGCACTAATGTGCTGTAATGTGTAAAAAGTAAATAAAAATGAGCTTACTGGAGCCAGATAATCCTGAGCTGCCTAGTGGACTAGTTACACTGAAGCCAGCCCTCTGTACTTAGCTTCTGCACCTTTCAATTCTTCTCATCCCTTGCTCATGATGGAAGAAATAATGGGAGTATGATTGGTGATAGTGGCTTCTCTCTGCCAACAGAAAGGAAAAGGATCTGATATGGATTTTCCAACCCTAAATAAACCATAATTTAAAAACGATTTTCATCCTGTATTCATACCGCCTTTTTAAAAACCCAGATGTGCTTGGTCTACATTACAAAGTTAGGTCAATGACCTAGTTGTGCATGTGCCTATGCTTAAATTTGTACCACCAATGTAAGCACCCCATTCCAGTGATGCAGTAATTCTTCCATCAAATCTAGCTGTTGCTTCTTGGATAGGTGGATTAACTATGCCAACAGAACCCCTCCTGTTGCCTGTGGGTGTTTATGCTGAAGTGTTATAGTGGCACAGGTGCAGCACCCCAAATGTAGACAAGTCCTAAATTGAACTTTACTGTTGGAGAACCAATGCAGGCCTGAGTGTTTCAATAAAGAGACAAGGTGGATGAGGTGTTATCTTTGATTGGACCAGCTTTTGTCGGTGAAAGACACAAGTATGTGCACTTACATAGAGCTCTTCTTCAGGTCTGGAAAAGGTACTCTGTCAGTGAAATAAAAGGATGGAACAAATAAGGAATTAACATGGTTTAAGAGACCAAGGTGAAGTGGGTAGTTAGAGCCTCTATAGTTATAGAACAAAGGTGGGTGGGTTAATTAAAGGTTGTAATAAGCTTTAAATACAGTTTATGATGTCCCTAGTTTTGGTTCCTAGTAGAGTTATGATTTTAAATTTCCAGTCTCATCTTTTGAAGGCATTGTGCAGATTTCCTTTGAAGACTGAGAGATCAGATAGATGAATATTTTGTGAAAAGTGTTTCCCAACAGGTGGATTGTGTGTCGAGCATTTTTCTGTGTAAGATCATTTGAGAACATAGTGATCATGTTATCTCAACCACATAGCTGTTGGGGCATTTAGTGCACTGGCTCAGATATGCCTCCTGCAATTAGTATGTATAGGATCAGTGGGATTGAACAGTGTTGTAGGGGGGCGTTTGATCAGTATCTGAGTGGAGATAGGTCTGGTTTTGCATGTGTTACTGTAGAGGCTGGTGCTGTTTTGGATTACTGGTTATTTGTTGTTAACATTCCATTTTTCAGTTTCTAAGAGATACTACTGTTAAACGCAGATTGCTCAGCCCTATTCAATATGGTAGCATGACATTTCAGAAGTACTTCATAATGTGTTTGCACTGTAATTGATAGCTTTGTAGAAGTTAACAATCTTAATGCTTTTAGTCTTTGGTTACCATTCAAAGCAATCTGCAACCAAAAGGTATGAAAGTTACAACATTGAATAGTTTGGCCAGTTTTTTTCCCCAGTAATGATAATGGGCTTTAACTTTATACCTTGTCTATGCTGTATGCTTGATTTCACTGAAGGTGTATTTTTGTAAAAATATAATACTGGAATGACCTTTGTAGAGTCTTACAATTATTGAAGTCAAATAAGCATCTTCTAGAACATTTTATTTTAATGCTTTGTTAAAAGTCTTTTTATGGGGGCACTCTTTTGACAGGCTGCACAACATGTCCAGAAACAGTCTACGGAGCTTTTCCAGTGTATGTATTTCAAAGAAAAAGTCCCTGAAACAGATGAGCGCTGTACAGCAGATGGTGTTGTTTACTCCATTCGAACAAATGGTGTACTTGTTTTTGTACCAAGGTAAGTCAGAGTTTGCATGGAAATAAGATATAGCAGGGCGTAGTATTAATGAAAACTTCTGGTTCTTGAGACGGGCAACAGTAACAGACTATAACATAGTTTGTTGTTGAAAGAGGGATTAAGTTTTAATTTAGGCCCAATGGTTTTCTAGCCCTTGAATCTAAAAACCAAAAAAGTTCCTAACAGGAAGAAAAAGGGGATGATACTTACAGTATCTATTTTGAATGCTTTATTTCCTATCTTAAATGATTGTCTGACCCTACTCCTTCCATTGTCCAGCTTCCTTATAATTGAAATTTGTACCACTTTAAATTAATTTTCCAATAACAAAATTAATTTGTTCTACTTAGTTCTAAGTGTTTTTATAACAGAAATTGACTGGATACTTGAAAAAAGGACAACTGTTTCTTGAAGAAAGTTTAAAACGGATTTCCCCAGCTACCTCTACTTTGCACTGCATTCATTCCTCCCATTAATTAACATAAGGGGTACCTAGATTTGGGGAGATGGAGTTAGAGAGTATACCAGCTGTATTCTTGTTTTCTTATTTTAATAGCATTCCATCTGTCTCTATGTGACTGACATACTTTAACATCATGAAAAGTAACTCTTACATGGCAATTTTAATCTTGAATTTGTTTAAAATATCTTCCCATTCTATAAACTGTTATGCATTAGCTATAACTTAAAAAGAATACTGAACGGAATGAGTTAGGAAAGCAGCTGGGTCTGTGCAGAAGTTGGACAGCCCTCCCTTTAATACTCCAGTCTCCAAAAGCCAGGGAAAAAGCAGCTACTGCTGCTAAGTTAGCATGGGCATCCTCATATCCATTTACAGTAGACTTCTGATAATCCGGAACCTATGGGACCTAGGTGGTGCTGGATTATCAGATATGACGGACTATCAGAAGGTACTATAAGATGGTTATATATATACACTGTATACATTATACTGTATATAAAGTGTTCTTAACCCTTTATATTGTACATACTGTATACAGTATACTGTAATATTTTAGGTTTTTTAAGCCTTTTTTACCCTTTTTGCTCAGTTCAGCTGCTGCTACCTTGTGACTCATTTTTTGCTGACGCTCACTCACTAGGCTCTTGCCATTTTGATGCTGGACTATTGGAGTTTTACTGTACTTTGTAGTTACAGTTCTGATCAGCTCCTACTTCCTACACCTGACAAGCAGCTAAAGTAGACTTCAGTACTGGTTCAGTGGAGGGGGGAGTTGCAGAATGCATGTATAATATCTTCGGGGTTTTGCCCTTGCCCAATGCTTGCTCTTTATATTTAGATTGTAATTTTTTGGAAGAGAGGCTTACTTCACAACTGGGACACTTAAATTTCTTGATACATTAACTTGATTCATACTTTTGTCATTTATCTGAAGTTATGGGACATGCTGATCAGGATCCAGTGCATTTCTATTGTTTGTTTACATAGATGTAGTCTTTCCTCTGCTTTGGTATGTTGATGGTTTAGAATCACTATAGTGGGTGATGGCTCTGAATGGTACCATAATATTGTTTTGTGTATTTGTGTTTTCATTTTGTGCATCACATAGGTATGGCATTAAAGGTGCTGCTTATCTAAAAAACAAAGAGGGTTTGGTCATCTCTTTTCAGTCTGATGGCTCTTGTATGTGGAAACCGGGTTCTCTCCTCCACTGTCAGAACAGAATTATTTCTACTACAGCTGATGGAGAATTTGTTACATTGAGTCTGTTTGACCATATAACAGTAAGTCTTAATAAATTCACTTAATGGTGGAAGCATCAGAGCAGAAATGATGGGAAAAAAAATAAGTGTACTTTTGTTTCTAAGGTAAAAATATCTGTGCAGACTTCACACTGCCACCCTGCCACCATCAAGCTTGAAATAATTAGCAACACACCTTACAAGCGTGAAGCTACAGAACTCTACCAGAAGAATTCTCATATAATGAAAACTGACTTAATAAAAGAAGTAACTAGATCGGCAGAGGAAGCTCAGCTTGCGCAGGAAAAGAACACAGTTCAAGTAATTCAGGAAGAATATCAGGAGTATTGCCAAACAAAGGGAGTTAACTTGTACCAGCTGCTTGAGGAAATTAAGGAGTTAGCTCTACTAGATGTATCAGCAGATAACCACACATAAAGTACTAGTTGGTTCTGCTCTACTGAAGCAGCTTTCCACAATTTTAAATCTTGTTTTAAAAACTGATGTAAACGTTTTTAATGTTTTCTGCTTTTGCTAATGTGAACTGTACCTTAACTGCAATTTAACACTGATTTTTACAGGATGAGATAAACTAGTTCTATTTAAGATGTTTTATATGTGGCCAACTACTGTATTCTTCTGGAAAGACTACAGATTGTATTGTGGTGACCTCCTTAAAGATTTATTTTTTAAAAAATTGATCTTAAAAATGACTGGACTTTTTTTTTCTAAAAAAGATTTGTATAGAAAGTCTAAATACATTTGCATAAGCAATATTACACCGATGCAGCCAAAATAATAATCTTACTCTGTTTTCATCAAATTATTTAACTTTAAGTACCTTTTGATTCTATAGCTCTGTTTATCATCAACCTGAATGAAGGAGTTCTGCTTCATCCCTTATATGACTTGCTACACAAAAGTGCACTTTAAAAAATTCAAAACTGGTTAAAGTTACAATACACAAATTAAATCCTCTTTCAGGCCTATTTTAAGATCAGCATAGTTATGGGGGGTTTTCATGGGCCTTAACGAAATGGAGACTTTAGGGGAGCTTTCCTGCCACTATCAAAATTAATACGAAGCTAAATGTAGCATGGTTTGATGGTAGACTTCAATAAGCACCAAAAGATTAGCATCTGAACAAAGTTTTTGGGAGGTTTTCAAAAGCAGAAAAACATCTAATTTCTATGGAAAGTCCATTTCACTTCAACTTTCCTGTGTTGGTATTCTGCCAGAATTGTACACCACCTGTTCTAACTTCATTGAAAATTAAGTATCTTGAGCATTCAGTGCTTTTTCCCTTCCCTCAGAAAAATTATATTGCCTTTAAACAATCTGCCTTTTCTCATCAACAAAAATATAAACTTGCCCTAGAACAGCCAGATATAACACTTAAAGGCAAAAAATCCTTTAAAAATAACAGTCTAATTCTGGTTATGAATGGGTAAGTCCACTATCAGATACTAAGACTACGAATGCTCAACAATTGTAAATCTGAAGCTACTTAATTTCCTGCCACACTGATTTTTCTTATAACAAACATAATGGGTAGAGTACATTTAGAGCAGATTTGATTGACAACTTTTGACTGACTAATTACTTCAAACAGCTAGGCATATTTGGTTATGTAGAGAATATTTTTCAATTTTTATTTCTAAAAGGTAATATCTTTCAAGGTCCTGTATAAAATAATTTACTAAAATATAAGCATTTCATAACATGAAGTATTGTTATAAAATGCTTCAGAACAGTTAAGACAAGATGCATGTTCATACTGAGCAAGTAGTTCCTGGCACTGTACCGTCAATTCTAACAAAATTAACAGAATGAAAAAACATTATACAAACTTAGGCTTTTCAAACCCTGGCAAGTTAAGGTTGATGAATGTCAATTTTTAAAAAGTCACTTCATAGTATCCTTTAGGGGGTGGGGAGCAGAAGTGGGAGGAAATCAGTATTTTCACTGATGCTTTTCGTCACTGAAAAAGCAAGTTTAAAAAAAAGTTTAAATGCAGAATAGCTGTGTTTCTTTCCTGAATTAAGGTGTTGGGGAAAAAACAGGTACTGGAGCTGATGGGTGCCTTTTTACATAGTGAAATAGATAAAAGTCGTTCAGATACATTGATGTCTTGGATAAGATTTCCATAGAATGTCCAAGGTAGGGGAGGAGAGAGCGAGCCAGTGATATTTGAACATACTTTGATATCTGGGTCTCTTAAACGTCATTGTATCCAGAGAGCGCGATTATTTGATTTCTTCTGCACATTTGAGTTGTGTATCTTTGTCCACAGCTTCCATAACAACTTTGGCTTCAGCAGTGTGAATTTCTACTGTCAGATCAGCTGGATCTTGAGCCACAGTGGTTTTAAACTTTTCTTCATTTGGCTGGGAGGTAGACTGATCTATTTTAAAAAAGTAAAGCATTATTGCCTATTATGTCAAAGTACTGTAATTTCATTTACCATCTTCAGTTTAAATGCTCACGTTCACATCTCTAAGCCACCCCCCTTAGCAAACCAGGACAGTCACTAATCTGAAATCTGTGACCAGAAAAGAAAATGTGCACTGGGTTTTGGTGGGATGAGGATAAACATGATGCAACCAACTTTCATTCTAAATTTAAGAAAGAAAAAAAAAAGTGCTATCAGTTATCCCCAAGGTATAAGTCTAACTGCAAGGAGTTAGATTTTGTGAAGTCTCCATTTCACACATGAGATTGATGGTCACTCTTGAAGTCTGTACAGAAACCTCTCTTTAAATAACTTTAGTCTTCTAAATGGAGGTGGTTATATTTATCCCCTATTCAAAGTTTCTATGAATCCACATCACAGGGGACCCCCTACAAAGCTAAACTGCTTTGGCACCTGGGGCTGGGGTTCAGGGACTAGGGGATATGAAGGACTAGTTGACTATCCGATAAGCAAATGCTTATCAGATAGTCAACTAGTCCTTCATATCCCCTAGTCCCTTCCCCGCATCTTGCTGCCTCTATCAGGAAGAGGCAGCAGGAGGGAGGAGGGGAAGGGTATTTCAAAGCAGCAGCGCCGCATGGAGCCTACGGCCAGACCCCAGGCTTGACGGGGCACTGCAGCTTTGAAACACCACCATGGGAGCCCAGCATCAGGCTCCTCCTGGCATTTCAAAGCAGTAGTGCTGCATGGAACCCAGGATCATCTGGGGACTCCCTAGCTGATCCGGGCTCCATGCGGTGCTGCTGCTTTGAAATGCCAGGAGACTAACAAAAATAAATATATTTTATTACTAAAGTGCTACAGGACCATTGTTGGTTTTTTTAGTTACAGACTAACACAGCTACCCCTCTAAGACCTTCCTTGAGGAGGCATTGATCTGTGTAGTTTTTTGAATGTTTAATCATAATTGCAACACAGTGAAAGCTCTCAACTTTGAATAGATAAAGATTAAATTCTGGAAAACAGAAAACTGAGGAAACATTCAAAATAAGATATTTACTATTCTATACAACCACAACCCTCTAGAAAATGTGTTGGGTGTTTTTTTCCTCCAAATAAATTTGTAAAGCATGTCCTGTTTGCTTCTTTGGTTTGATGGTATGGCCTTTGAGATTTCTAAGCTATGAACACTGCTTGTTAGCACTTAAAACTAGAAAATTCTATTACTAATTACCATTTTCTTGTGACTGACTGTTAAATTGCATCTTTGCCTGTCTTCTTTCCAAGGCTAATTGCCGGTTCTTCTCAATTCTTCGCTGTTGCTCCTCTGTTAAGGTAGTACCGGACTGAGAATCCAATTCTTCCTTCACATTTTCAGAAAAAGGGTCTAATTCTTCTTCAGGAGACATCCCGAGCCGATTATTTCCCCCTCCACTACCTGTATAAAAGGCATGAGTAAGAAACGTCAGTGCCTTTGAAGCTAAAGGTTTACCAATAGTGAAACCAAACATTCCACTGTAAATCTAAGACTGCAAGAACATTTTAGAAAATAAAATTTCTTCCTATACCTATAAAAAAGTTTTTCCTGTGGGACAACAGAGGGTCATCACCACATCACTGTTCCTGGCAGCCTTTCACCTTTAGCCACACTTGGCCTCCTCCCTGCTGCTAACTCCCATAACGGGGTTGGCAATCTGTGGCTTACAAGAGCTCTAAATATGGCGCTGACTCCTCAACAGCAGCACTCACTTTCCATGCACCTTGAAGATAAACTGCTACTAGGTTTGTGGGGAAGGAACTGTGGGCGGGGAAAGTGGTGAAGTACACCCAACTGCCACAGTGGCTGGCTGAAGCTCCAGCAATTATCACATGGCAGGCGGCTGCCGGTGTTTTAAAAATAGCTGCTCCACTGTGCCGGTGGCAGGACCCATGCAGTGGGGATGGAATGTACCAGGCTGGCGGAAAGAGGAAGGGACCTTGGCTGGTGCAGCTGCAGCCCGGTCCTCCCCGGTGGCCGAGGAGAGAGCTGGGGTTGCAAACCCCCCACAACAGGGGGGATGGCAAGTGCAGCCCCCTAATAAAACTTAGTAGTTAAGAGTAATTCACTAACAGCGTGGACCAGCACCAAACAGACCATATTAAAAAAGAGTTTGAAATGCACAATATGTTTTGACTATGCCAGCGTCCATATGTTGTGCATGAAGGTTTGAAGTAAATAGTAGAACAAAAGGCTTGTCTTCATGTACAGTCTTGCAGAGCTGCACCTGTGCCACTATAGCATTTTACTGAACATGCTACTACACCAACAGGAGAGTTTCTACTCTCTCACTCAAACAAAAACAAAAAACACACTAAAACCCTCAAGTTTGTAAAATTAGTGTTCTATTGTAAAATTATTTTTAAAACTAGTGTATGGAGCCATCGCACAGAAAGTCTGATAACTAGACAGACACTGTCGGCAGGAACCATATGTTTTAATGTATGTGGCTGTACAGGGTTGCATTATATTACTAAAATACAACCAACAGTAAATACAACCACAAGGAATACAAGCAGACAGGGAAGATGGTAATTTGTTTCAACAGTTCTGTCACAGAATGATCAGAGAAAAAGGGAAAGACTTCTTACTGCTTACTCAACATGAGCAATGAGAACCCAAGAAAGCACTATAGTCTGCTATTTTCCTCTAATATTATAATTTTTTACACAACTCAATCCTATTCACTTTTCATGCAAGGAAAACATTTTTCCCCACTGGCCAGAAATGAAGACTATTTTCTGGTTCATCTGAAACACTCTGATTATAAAAAGCACTGTTGCATTATCCACTTCAAAATTCCCTATTACTACTTTTAAATGGCATGATTTTGAAGTAGTGGAAAGAACTAAAAGGAATAGCAAGTAAGGATGGGACGACAAAAAAAGAATAATCATAGACTGGATTGTTAAAATGGGAAGCCTATATCCACATCAATCACTTGATATGTTAATGAAGACCCTTCTACTCCCTATCCATCACAGAAAGAAACTTTAAGAGCATTTTTATTCTATACCTCTACCGGGGAAGTGAACCCTAAAAGTAAAGTTAAAGTTTCTTGAAAACTAACAATTCAAACATTGGTGTACTACTCCTGGGATTACTTATTATCCACTACCAGTGGAGAATGGACGCTAAGATATTGAGAAACTTCTCCTTTTACTGAATTTACTGAAAACGGCTCATCTCTAGAGAAAATGTAACCTGATCAACATGTAGAGGATAGACTTGAATTTGATCAAAGAAAAACTGAGTAAGTCAAGTCCCCCCCCCCACACACACACACTGAAGGATGCACATGTTTTATTTTCCCATTGTACCTTATTTTTTCATTGACTGTGAAAGTTGAGAACAAGTTAATGTTTAATAAATAAACTACTGGAACAGGCTGAAGAAAAGCATACATGCCTTCATTATTTGTAAAATCTTCATGCAAAATTGGAAGATCAAGTCTAATTCGCTTTAAGCAGGTCTGAAATGAGAAGAAGCACTGTTTATTATAGATTAATGTTTTCACCAAAATATCTTACTACTATTTCACAGAAAAACAAGAGTTACATAAAGCTTAAAGTAAAATCTGAAACTTCATTGCTAAATTAATCTACAGCTGAGGATATAGGGTATAATCACAGGGCTTTCTGTCACCATCCAGGCACACATCTTTACTAATGTATTTCAATCACTGATGTCCTGAATAGTAAATAAATAAATTACACTGGGACCCAAGTGAAAAGAAAGTCAGGTGTATGGTATGCTTCAATCCATCTACTCACCTCTCATAGCTACATCAGAATGGAAGAGGAGCTGAACTTGGTAGTATGCTTTCCTCACCCGCCAAAAAAATTAGTATAATTTATGGAGGTTAATACTATATTAATTCCTACAGTACTTGATCTTCCTCTGTCTTTCCCCATACTCAAGATACTGCAGAGTACAATACTGGACTGGTCATAAAAATAGTATTACTAATCTTGCTGTACTGATGCAGCTTGAAGCAAATATACTGTGAGGCCTCTAGCTTCCACTATTTTTTTTTGGCTCACTAATTCCACTGGGATAGAAGTATGCTATGCCCTTGTCAAAACCTGTAGAGCAATGGTTCCCAAACTTTTCGGCATCACACCCCCTTTTTTATTTTTGAGAAACTCATGCCTCCCTCCCCCCCAAAATAGCAGCAAAACTTGGGGTGGGATTGACGGGGGGGTATGTGGGGCTGTGTCTCCTCGCCCCCTCCCGCCCCGGAACGTCAGCACGCCCCTTAGTTTGAGAACCCATGCTGTAAAGCAGTGGTCTCCAACCTTTTTACACCAAAGATCACTTTTTAAATCTCAGAACGGGCAAAGATCTACTGCCCCACCCCTTCATTGAAGCCCCGCCCTCTCTATTCTCCTCCTGTCCATCACTTGCTATCCCCAGCCCTTACTCTGATAAACAGTTTATTTTTAAATTATGCGATACATTCAATTAAAATCACGTGTTTATAGTTATGAAATAAATGGTCTGTTTTTTATTCATGCTATTTAAATCTAAAATGAAACATTTATAATTATACATTTTGTGGGGACAGAGTACCACGGCTGGGGGCAGGGGAGAGAGAACAGGGTGCTGGGAGGGCAGGGGACAGGGTTCTGCAGCAGGGGACAGGGTGCCAGTGGGGACAGAGTTCGGGGAGTAGGGACGGGAATAGGGACAGAGTTCTGTAGCTGGGGACAGGAGAGTGGGGACAGAGTTCGGGGAGAGGGGACAGGAATGGGGACCGAGTTCTGTGATTGGGGCCAGGGGTGTAGGGACAGCATTCTGTAGTTGAGGACAGGGGAGTGGGGACAAGGGAGTGGGGACAGCGTTCTGTGGCTCGGGGGGGGGGGGCGGGGGGGGGGGGGGCTGTGGAGGCAGAGAGTCCCCTGCATCTCCCTCCTCCCAGCATTCTCCCTCCGCCCCAGGGAAACCAGCGCGCGCCTGCCCAGGGAGCCCACCCCCCCCCCCCCGCACATCGGACA